CCCCCCGTGTACCTGAAAAAAAAGGAGGAAGAAAAAGAGAAGAAAGAAAAAAAGGAAGCCAGTAGTAGTAGTATTAGCAGCAGTACTGCCGTGCTGAGGAAACACGCCGTATGAACCTCCAAGCGTTGCTAAATTTCCTTTGATAAAGCACGAATATCCTGGTAAACTTATGAATATTTTCTTTCCAATTTTTATGATCATTTTGCTCGCAATTTTACCTAAAGTTCAGGGCCGGATTTACCTGCTTGCCGCCCATGGGCCGCTTGTATTTTACCGCCCCCTTCTCATTCGTGTTGAAACAATCAAGCCATCAAGTGAACGTGCCAGCGGGGGAGAGGTGCATAAGACGCGTTTACTCGTGTTGAACACCTTTTTTGAGGATGCCCTGTCAACACTACTAGCAAAAGTTAAGTTTTGTAAACCTATCTCTGTGCGGACAAGGCCTTCATAAGAAATGAACGAAAAAATTATGAAAGAACAAACATGAACGTGGTTTAATGATTTTAACTTCCGCCGCCGCGCCGCGCAGACAGCACCGTGTTTGGCGCAATGCGCGAAGTATTCACGCAGTCTTGTAGGCGCCATGCGTTTCACGCTGACCGCACTGTGTTTGGCGCAATGTATGAAGTATTCGCGCATTCTTGTAGGCGATATCCGTTTCACGCTGACTGCAATGACCGCACTGTGTTTGATGCAATGCGTGAAGTATTCGTGCAGTCTGTAGACGCTGATATGTGTTACATGCCGATCGCCGCGCCGATGGCCTCGCCTTTTCATCTCAAGTCCTCGTCATCATTACTCTCTGCGCCGCGCCGCTCCAGGCCAAATTGCATGTTTGGTTTCTCTCTTAACTCGACTAATTAAAGATGCTGTCTCTTGTATCACATGAAAGACGACAAAATTAAAAATTACTACACTCTTAGGAAATGAGAGATTTTGTCGCCTTTTCTCGTTTGTAATTTTTTTTTCTAAATCCGATATTTTTTTATACCTGCATTTAAAAAAATTGCAAAATTTTCCGCCCTCTAGATTTGCCGCCATGGGCCGCGGCCCATGTTGCCACTCCCTTAATCCGGCCCTGCTGAAGTTCCTAAAAATTGCAAGGAAAAGTATTCATAACCTTCCTAAAAAATGAATATTTTAGCGAAGGAATTTTGACAACTCTCGAATGTTCATACGACGTTCTTCCTTAGCACGGCAGAGTGGTTAGTAGTATCGGTAATGTACGTTTATTTTAAAGCGTGAAGGAACTGAGGAGAGAGAAAGGAAGGACGTTTCTATTTATTAATTACTCGTGGCGGAACCGTCTCAAACTGCATATTGGATGCTTTAAAATTTTGAAAATTTTCTGGGGGAAGTTCCATGAGGCCCCCCCCCCCCTCTTGCGAAGTGTCTGTATAATAAGAGGAGAGAATCTGCATAAATAATGGACTGGCATCTACTATTATATTCGATTATAATAAAGCAGCTATACTTCACATTCGACAAGTTATGTTTAATAATAACACAGAATCCGAGTCCATTGTCCATTATTTGCTGTTTTAAAATCTCCCCTCTAATTTTGTTTTTTTACAAAAGAAAGGAAAGGAAGGAAAGAGGAAGAAGAAAAAAAAGAAACGAAAAAGGAGAAAAAGATAAAAGAAAGGGGAAGAAGAAAAGAGAAAAAAGAAATGAATAAATAAAATAGCTTTTTACCAAAGGCGAAAAGATTACATGAACGGCATGTCAGTTCGCCTTCAATTATTAGTGTAGGCAGCATTAGCACCCACGTAGTCAAATATGGTATCGTCGTGAAATGACGCGTTCGCCCCAAAGACGCTGAAAAAAATAGCTTCTTAGCAAACCGAAAGAGGTTACTTTAACACCATATCAGTTCGCCTTCAATATTTAACGTAGGGAACACGAGGGATTTTTGTGTAAATTTCAGTTGATTTACTGTATATATCACGGAGCGAATTCTTTTTAAAGTTTCAAAGGAATCCGCACAACCGTATTCTTGTGAAAAACTAAATTGCCGGATTTTTGGCAATAGCTGAAGTGGCTTGGCTCCTTTCTGCTTAACCCCCTATGGCATAGCGTCACAAATTCGTAACAACGTACTTTTCGGGTTTTTAAAAATTAAATCTTTCTCTGTGGTATGCGTTCGCAAATTTTCACTATTTCTTTCTCATTCTGAGAACTGATAAATAATAACTGATATAACTGATATAATAACTGATTTCCAAAAAATTTAAATTTTTTAAAAAAAATAGGTGCTCTGTGTTTTTTATGCAAGCTACAAAATAGATTAGTGCATCCCAGAATCTGAGATCTAAAATTAATTCATGCCATTGAGGGTTAACGCGGTCTATTTAGGGGTGGTACGGGACTTTTGGATCACCTTGTGTAATTTATGATAAATATATTTGTACACTACAAACATGGTTACAAAAAAGGTTGTTTTTTACGTAAAATAAAATATAAAATGAAAAGCCTAAGATGCCAGATATTTGATTTAAAAAATATCAAAATTATTCATACCACATATGCATGAGCCGCGACGCGAACATGTATTGCTTTGTTCTTAGCACCAATGAGGAATATCCCAACTCGCTTATTGTTTCCGACATGAGATTCAACCGGTAAATAACTAGACCGTTCGAATTGAGGTGAAATGGGTCAATCGTGACGATTGCGGGCGTTGTCTCCCAGGGACATGATAGAATCACCACCAGGCACAACAATGACGTCATTACCTATCCATTGCACGCAACTCCTTGCTCAGTGCTCTCGTCGGGGTAGTCGCTATGAAGGGTTACCTAGTCGGTGTCTTCAATTTCCAGATATGGCTCCAACTTCCCCATCAACATCAACCTGGAATAAGCGGCTTTTCCGCTCAAACTGGCAAAAACATTGGAGGCGGGGGCGTATAATTCATCTTTACGGCCCGGTTTTTTAGCCGAATGCACGGGATATTGAGGGTTATTGTCCACTGCAGCACGGAGCGGATTTGTCAGATCACTGCGGCTTCTCTTAAAATTTTTCAGTGAGCTCATTTCAACATAAATATCCTTGGAGGTGTATTGAGGGTGAAACTCCCAAACCAAGTATCCCATTTTATTAGTTTATTTTAGGAAGAAGAAATCAACGTCATTCCTCCCAGTATCCACAGAATTTTCCTCGCACAGTGAAGAAAAATCATAGAAGTTTTCAAGAATTGACGTTGAATAGCTCTCCCTAAAAAAAAAAAAAAAAAAAAAAAAAAAAAAAAAAAAAAAATAGCACGACAGGAAGTCTGTACCGTCGCAAACCGAGATACGTATGGTCTGGTACTTTAACCGTCAATATTCCAATGACAAAGAAAGATTCCACAAATATTTTTAAAACATTCTTATCCTTCTCAGAATATACCTATAACTTATTTCAATCAAAGATATTGGTTGTAAGAAATATTTCGGATCTACCGAAAGGCGTTTCTGTGCATTACTTCCTTTACATGTTTCCATTTGGTGCGGCTTCTAATTACAGAGTTTATCAATTTTTACGTTTACAACACTATAAGAATTAGAGTAATTTCATTTATTTCTTTATTTTTCTTCATTTTGTTTATTAATACTGCCATCAGAAACTGGTGTCAGAGAACAACGAATTTCGATACTCACCTGCTGCGTGTGATGATGCCGTGATTTGGCTTATAATTTTGTATTTTTGTGACTAATGTGCAGGGATTTATGATTTATAAACTTTTCGTCTGTTCACCAATTCTAGGCAATAACTCAAGCATGAATGCATATCCTAGTGCATTGGGATAAACCTTAGTGAATCGGTATCAGTCAGAATGAATAATTATAACACTGACCTGCAGGAAACTTGCTTTCCGACTCTCATAATAAGTAATCCCCTGACGTAAGGGCATATCTTTCCACATGAGCCCTGGAAAGCATATAGTTATACAAAGAACAGGGATCATGTGGAAATCGAGATACGCCCCTACGTCAGAGGAGCGACGAATAGAGGGTGAGGTGAATTTCTTTGAGGTTTGCTCGATGTTAAATTCGTGTTGCCTTAAAGTTGCAAACACTGTAAAAGAGTAGCGCCTGAAAAGGGAATTCGGAACGCACTTTATGCGAACAAAAAATAGTTGCAGGAAAAGAGCCGTACATTTTCCTGTTAATATAATTTGTTTTCGTGTTAGTTTCATTATCATCTCATTTATTCCTGTATTCTCATTGTTCTTAGTTTATGTTGGATGGTGGAATATGCTTCCTTCTATACTGCCTCGAACAACCGTGTTTTCTCACGCATGCAACCTGTGCCTGGAAGATTTCAACAGGGCCGGATTTACCTACTTGCCGCCCAGGGGATGCCTGTATTTTGACGCCCTCTTCCCTTTCGTTTTGGAACATTGATAAAAACCATCAAGTGAACGTACCGGAAGGGGAGGGGTGCTTAGACGCGTTTACTCTTGTTGGACACATTTTTTGCGAGAGCCCTGTCAACAATACTAGCAAAAATTCACGGAACTTTGCGCGAAAGTTAAGTTCTGTAAACCTAGCTCTGTGTGGTCAAGGCTTTCCATTTATAAGAAATGAACGAAAAAATTATGAAAGAAAAAACATAAATGTGGTTTAATAATTTTTACTTCCACCGCCGCGCCTCGGTCTAGCGATCTCCGGATGACCGGATCTAGCGCAATGCGTGAAGTATTCCTACAGTCTTGTAGGCGCTATGCGTTTCACGCCGACCGCTGCTGACCGCACTGTGATTGACGCAATGCGCGAAGTATTCATGCGGTCTTGTAGGCGCTAATACGTGTTACATACCGACCGCCCCACCGAGGACTTCTCATTTCATGTCAAGTCCTCGTCATCCTTGCTCCCTGCCCGCGCCGCTCCAGGCTAAATTGCGTGTTGGGCTTTTGTCTAAACTGGTCTTAAGGTGCAGTCTAGTGTATCACCGGAAGACGACAAAATGAAAAATTACTATACTCTTAGGAAATGAGAGATTTTGTCGCAGTTTCTAGTTTGTAATTCTTTTTCTAAATCCGATTTTTCTTATACCTAAATTTAAAAAAATTGCAAAATTTGCCGCCATCGGCCGCGACACATGTGGCCACCCCCTAAATCCGGCCCTGAATATCAATAATAAAGCGTTTGGAATGAGTCTTTGGTCTGTATTATGACTGCTCCAAGTTTAGTGAATGAAGGCCTTGCGAGGTTGCGAGGTCCTAAGATTAGGCTGAAAGTACATATCGACGGCGAGACCACCAAACCACGTATCTCAGTTCGCGACGTTGCAGATTTCCGGCCATACTTTATTTTTTTTTAATGGAAAATAACTCAACGTCAATTCTTGAAAATTCCCATGATTTTTCTTCTTTGTGTGAAGAGAACTCTGCGAAAACTTCAAGAAATGATATTGATTTATTCTCCTTCAAAAAATTAAAATGGGAGCGGAGATTTATAAACACCGCAAACGAGATATGTAGTCTGGTAGTTTCATCGTTGATATGTAACCTGGGAGGTCGTAGTCATTTTGCCACCAAAGACACCAGACCTTTAGTGAGACACCAAATTTGGTGTCTCACTTCAAAATGGACAAATTTTTGAAAACCCACAGAAGTTTTTCTCCTAATCTCGAAACCGTTGTTAACTCCTCCATGCCACTTGTTTACAATGCTTCGATTATGATACGTATACTTTGAAAAAGAAATGTAAATTATGAACCCTAAGAATGTCTTAAATATATTATGAGGCTGCAAACTTTGTCTGCGTAAAAAAGTGTAGTTATGTTGAAGGGTGATATTATTTTTTTCGGTTTACATTTTGGATGATGTAAGGACAAAGGTTTCAATCCGAACAGGAAATTAATTCGGTATCTTCTTCAAAAAAAAAAAAAAACAAGTGAAAAGTGCCGGCCGTCAGCCAAGCGACGAATTGATGGTTCGTCAAACTGCGATCGTGCTGTATTGCATGAAGTTTCGCGCAAAAGTGAAGGCGCGCACATTTGTCCAACGGAGAATTATTAACTAAATTACTCAGCACTCCATTCAGTGGTGATAGGTCCCCAATGCCTCTTCAGCTAGTTTTGTTGTTGCAATTATTATGCAAAACATTGGCGTCCCTGGTAAAAATTGGCAGTAGAAACAGTGTTCCAAAATACCATAGACCTACAGCCGGCTGTAAGATTTCCAAAAGCTTCTATAGCTGGCAACACAATTTCTTATAGCCTTTTATAGCCGATGTCGATTAAGTAACAGCCTGGCGGTAAAGTGTATGCTAAACGTTACTAATTACGGATGCTAGGACTTAGTGAGTTTTTGGACTACCGCTCTCTTTTTGGGCCGCAGTATCTTGATTTAATTTGCGAGGAAAGCTCCGTACTTTTGATGGATGCCTGCCATTCCTAATATATTAGAGCGCCTTCACTTTCGTATGAGACTGTGCAATACCTCTGGTGTGAAATAGTTGCTTCAAGCGCCGCGGTACGTTGCGGCGCGGTGCGGCGGGCAGGCAGCCAGCGCTGAACGCGCATTGGCGCCTACAAACCTGACAGGGATACTTCACGCATTGCGCAATGCGCAAGTATCCCTGTTAGGTTTGTAGGCGCCAGTGCGCCTACAAACCTGCCGCGCCGCTCCGCTTTGTGTTAGGCTCTAATATTTAATCTCGCGGAGTCAGCGTTTTTCAACTCATGACTTTGGAATGTTTGCACACTCTGTATGGATTATTCTCATTTTAATTGATAGAAAAAAATATGTAGTAAAGGAAAATATAATGTGCGTTTTGTAAATATCAAGGTGACTCCGTAAAAACTTAAGGATTTACAAAGCACAAGAATTTCTACACAATTTCTTATAGCCTTTTATAGCCGATGGCGAAAAAGCAACAGCCTGGCGATAAAGTGTGAAGCCCGGCTGTATAATTTTTTATCGCTTCGTGTAGCCCGGCCGTATGATTTTTTCCACTTTCTACAGCCAGCTATATGATTTTCTATCGCCCTCTTCAGTCGGCTATAAGAACTCCTATGGTATTTTGAAACGCAGCTCCTTTCGCCAATTTTTACCAGGGGTAATTTGAATAACCTGTTCATTTGCAAAGTCTGAATCATCATCATCACCATATATAATTCCGTAAGCCTTTTCTTTGCGTCAAAATTCAGCGCGAACCGCCGGGCCGATCCGTGCGCGGGTGGTACCGGCTCGACCGTCCCGGTCCCCCGACGCCGCACTATGGTCCAATAGCCCGATTTAAGCGGCAATAAATCGGAAAAATGAAGTTTGGAAAAATTTCGATTTCAATACGTAGATCGATACTACATACTCTAAAGAAGACTCCTGTAAAATATAATCTAGATTGAAACACTAATAAAGATGTGACAAGCCTGGGAAGTGCGGCGCGCGGAGCACTTTTGAGTACGCTTCCAGTTACCGAGCGGCAGTGCTGTGTTTAAGGTCTTGTTTTCGTTGTTTCACCGTAACTGAAAGTGTTTGGGTACTTTATTTACAAAATATAAGGTAATTTCTAGATGTTCCTTGCTGAAACAATTCTTTTTTATCATGTCTAATGCTCTAGATTAACCCTTAGACATAGTCAGTTTTTTCAATAAAATCGCAAAAGTATGACCCAAAAAATATACTTTGCACCTCTGAGCACCTCGTAATT